TTCTTTCTATATGGGAGAAATAAACTTCCATTTTATTTAAGAAACTATTATTTTGGTTTTTCTATCAGAAGGTGGCTGGACTTAACACGATATACATACCTTTCTCTACAAAAAAACAAAAGAAAGAAACTTACTGTGATCATGATGCCAACCAAAATTCCAGCCAATAATGGATATTATGCCTTTTTAATTCAGGATAGGATTCTAGTCAATCATTGGCTCCTAAATGCTGCACTCCATAAAAACACTCTCCCTCCCATACACACAAAAAAGGAAACACAGCAAGACTCCTCTGAGTTGTTTATCTGGGGATTGTGATTCTATCCCTGAGTGGAGTTCTGGCAGCAAAGACCAATACAGACCATGGGGAGGGGCGACACGGCACCACCAGGGAAGGTGCATCCGAGGTATCACTCCTTCGTGGTGATGAGCATCTTTTACTTTTCCCTCTTGCCGTATCGTTTTCCTGAAGCTCTCTCCCACACTCCCTGTAATCCCAGGGGAGAGGCCAACCAAACCGCACAGCCCTGCATCCCTCAGTCATCAGAATGCATGGCAACCCCCACTGGTTAATTAGGGAATTCTAACACCTATGACAGCGACTGGTTCAAGGACAGTCATGTGACCCAAGAAGGATCAATTAGAATGCTTTTCTTCAGGGATTAAGATGTATGCTGTGTGAAAGAGAATGTCTCTCCTTCTGAGACAGTCTTACCAAGTTGGAACTCCTCAGGTCTGTCTTGATGCCAAGCAGAAAAAGATGGACTAAGAAAAAGCCAACGGCATCATAAGAATGTCTAGATTTGTTAAGAGAGAAGCAGTAACCTAATGGTTTAGCTTCAACTCCTGGATCCTGCCATGCCTGAAGGAAACCTAACTTCTCCACCATCTATTATTAAGCGCACTACTCCTCACTCCTCATACTGCTTTCTTCATGGAGAGTCATTTAATTAGTGTGTCATTCTTCACTCCATCTCCGTCCCCCCCTCACTCACTCCTCCCTAGGAGATGAGAAGAAACTTAGCTAACTGATTGAGTTGGGGAGAGATATGGCCCACACAGCTTGTTTCCTCCCTTTCCTTTTGCGTATCTAGCTGGCTGAAAGAGCACACACCTCTCTGTTCTGTGTTCTAGGTTTTCCAAGGGTGGACCCTGTCAGGGAGGCCATGAGTAGGTGGCAAGTTTATTCAGAAGCATGATCTTATGAGTTTCTCCTGCCCATCAGACTCAAAACCAGTTCTCCAAGCAATCTTTATCCGCACTAAAAGCAGTATTCTATCTCCTCTCCTCTACTTCTACATCCAGCTCTCAACTGGTTTCAACTTGGGCTGGAAAGAGAAAGAGTGTTTGCTACTGGTACCCTCAAATCGCATCACTAGGAACAGAGTTGAAGGTTTCCTTTTGGCTAAAACTACTTTAAGTGGAATTCCTGTCTCTTACAACCCAAAGGTTTCTGGTCAATGCAGCTTCTCTGACCCTAGTGTCTGATGCATTGCCCTTTCACATTCCCTATGGCAATATTTCATTTCTACTCAATTAAATAAATTCCTCTTTCACTTGGTAGAAGTTTGGGTCTTCTCTCCATTTTTACGCACTCCTAAACTGACACATGTAGCATCAAGAAATATGACCCAGGGGCTGGGCTCAATCCCTGGCTACTATGGAGTAGGGATGAGGAGGGAAACTCTCAAAGAAACCTGTGGTCTAGAGTGATTGCACTGACAGGCCCAGTTCATGGCCTCCCTAAATCTATGTCTTTTGTCCCGTGTCTATGTAGTCCCTTCCTACTCTGACATTGGGCTTGGGCATGTGACTTACTTTAGCCAATAGGATTTTAGGGGATTTGAAGTTTGAAAACTGCTTCTGCTTTCCATTTTCCTTCTCGAGCCTTGTGATCACCATGAGAATATGCCCAAGCTAGCCTGCTGGAGGATGAGACATGTGGAACAGAGTTAAGGTCAACCTAGATCAGCAGCTGACCACCAGACATGTAAGCAAACTTTAGCTGACCCCAAGAAGAATTTTGAGGCCAAGTCTATCAAGATGAATAGAAACACACAGTTAACCTGTAGATGTGTGAACTTCTAGAAATGCTATTATCTTAAGTCAAGGCATTTTGTTATGCAGCATTATTATGGAAATAGTTGACTGCTGCAACTATTAGTAATAGCCTGGGGAAAGAGTATCTCCCACAGTGCCAAGAAAGATGCTAGGTAATATATTAATCATGTGTTTTATTTAACTCATAAGTTCCAGAGCCATCTTTCAGAGTTCAAATTCCAGTGATGCAATTGGCTAGCTTTGTGTCCTTGGCCAAGTGATCCTATCCTCAGTTTTTCTTTCTTTCTTTCTTTCTTTCTTTCTTTCTTTCTTTCTTTCTTTCTTTCTTTCTTTCTTCTCTCTCTCTCTCTCTCTTTTGGTCACAAAACAGGAATAAAAATGTGACCTACTTTCTGTGGTTGCTGTGAAGATCTAATGAGCAAATATATGTGAAATGCTTAGGATGAAGTAGTTTTCTATAGAGATGAGCCATTAATGGGTGTGTGTATCCCTAACTAGACCCTCACACTCACTCCTGAGGGGGCAGGATCACCATCTCATGCCCCTCTCTTTTCTCATCGCCTGGAAGAATGCCCACATGGTAAATATTCATTGTTTGCTGCAGGTTTGGCATGAAATTAGCACTTTTATAAGTATAGATGCAAATTTCAATAATCTATTTCAACTTAAGGCCAATATCTTTGTTCTTTTTATAAAGTACTCATGCAATATTTATCATGTTTTAAAACCTTGCTTCTCTCTCCCTACTGTGCTATGAGATAAAATTTTAAAACCTTTTTCACTGCCTGGCATTTGTTTACATTGTTCATTCCAACTGTACTTAATTAAAGTCATTTCCCAAGAGTTCTCCTCAAGTGAAGCCAGATGGAGTGAGGGGCAACCTCTCTGGCTAAGAGAGACACAGCTGGAGGAATTGCATTGTTCCAGTAAACCACAGCCTGGCTGCCTTCTGAAATCAGACCCCTTTGTCTTAGTCTTTTTTTCCTCTAGAGCTTCTACCATCTGAACATGATTTTTGGATAGTTCACCTCTCCACTGGCCACATGGGAAGCCACCTAAACACTGCCAATTGTTTTTCTTTCCTGATGTCCCTCTGTGATGAGGGGTGAGGGAAGAAAATTGCCCTCGGGTTCCAATCCTTCTGCAACTTACTGGCTTGAGACTGTGCCAAGGTTATTAGCCAGGGTTCCCTGTGGGCTTCTGGAGGAGAGAGGTCTCATGTCCCATGCCTATCACCAAGCTGTAGGCAAAATTTTGTGTGTATGGACATTGTATTGAAGAAAACTCTGTTGGTTCCATGCTATTCAAAAAGACTCTATCAGCCAGGCTCGGTGGCTCAGCCTGCAATCCCACGCCTTGGGAGGCTGAGGTGAGTGAATTGCCTGAGCCCGCGGGTTCGCAACCCACCTGGGCAACTTGGTGAGACCTCATCTCTACAATAAATCAAAAAATTAGCCAGGTGTGGTAGCGCATGCCTGTAGTTCCAGCTGCTTGGAAGGCTGAGGTGGAAGGATCACCGGAGCCCAGCAGGTCAAGGCTGCAGTGGCCAGGAGCGACCACTGCACTCCAGTCTGGGCAACACAGAGAGACTCCAACTCAAAAAATAAAATAAAATAAAATAATAAAAAGACTCTCTCAACCTCCACTGAGCAAAAACCACAGCTTTGGGCAAGTGACTTTAGTCCTGTAAGCCTCAGTTTCTTTACATGCAAAATGAAAGTAATGACAGCATTCTCTGACTTAACTTTAGAGAAATTATGTAAATGAGAAAATGAATTTGAACCATACACTAATAGATGAGGCAACAATTAATATTTAATTATGCCATTTGATAATTCAGAAAATACTTAGCTTACATTTTAAAAACTGCTGCACAAATTATATATACAATTCTCAAGTTTTTTTCCAGAATGTGGGCACTAGTAAAATTTAGGTTAGAGGACAGAATATGAATAAGAAACTGGACACAGTTCTCAGTGATAATGATAGCAGATAATAATATGAACCTTATATGCACCATCTAATTCAGTCCTCACAACACCCCATGGGGGAAGTTTGTGTCAGTGCCTTTTTAGAGGCCAGGTTCTGGGGCTTAGAAAAGTTAAAAGAATTGCTCAAGATCAGATGGCAGAGCTGGGATGTGAAGGCAGCGCCGGGAACCTTCACACGCCAAACCACAGTGCTGTCAGCTGTTTCTCACTTCATAAAACTGAAAGAACAGGGATGCAATAGTTCGTTCTACATTGTCTATCTCTACACAAAATGATTCTGCCTTTTGCAGCCCTGTAGAAACGCCTCTGGGTCTGAAAGCCGGGCTTTGAATCTGACTCCAGTTAGGGCATTTAAGGAAAGCTAAGCAGGATGATTTTCAAGCCCTACTGTGATCCTGATTTTCCTCTCCTGTAAAATGGGTACATGCTTCTCCCTCCCTGACGGAGACGCTGGGAGCGTCCAGTAGACCATTGGGCAGAAGCACTCAGCAGCACCTGGTGTGATATTGCTGCTTATCCTGTACTTGCATCTTTTTCTTTCCTTGCAAGTAAATGCCAAGATAGGAGAAGACAGTAAGGAATGGAGAAGAAAGAGGGCTGCCTTGCACCTAAGCCTCCCAGAAGTCTGAGTTTGCTTTGTCTCCATGTTTGGGGCAACCAGAGAGGCGGCGGTGGAGAGACACTGCACAGAAGAGAGTGGACCTGCATCTTATCCTGTCTGTCCTGGCTTTTCCTGGCTTTTGTATGACCTCGTATTCCCTTTCTGCCCCTCCCAGGAAAGCTACTGGGAAGATAAAACAAGACAGTCTCCTATGGCGCCCAGCACGAGACCTGCAGAGACAAATAATGACATGCCTCTTCCTGTGTCTGTTGGTCCAGGTTCCAGCCTGCCTTGGAGGGTGACCCATGACGGGGCTGGAGCCATGAGGGAAAGGGAAGGGCCCTCACCTTTCACAGCTGCTGTCTCGTCGTGCTTCTCAAGGAGTAGGTAGCGAGGGCTCTCTGGGAGAAAGGGCAGGCTCACCAGCTGGACCAAGGCAGGGACCGCAATCACTCCAAACAGGTACGGCCAGGTGCTCTCCTGAAGGAAGAAGATGCTGCTGATGTGGTGGCTTTGGTCCTTACACAGGGGACTGGGCCACTGGGCCAACCAATCTGGACTCTGTAGACAGTCTTCCTGCTCATGGTGGTCCCTTCAAACAAAGACTGAGGGCAGGGCCTGACCCAGCCTAGGCACGAGCCCCATGCCCATGGCATATTCCATGCACAAAACCAATGACCCTCATCCTATCTCCTCTGTGAGATAGTGAGTTGGAGAGTGGCTCTGAAAAACAAGAGGCTCAAGATGACCAAGGCTACACAGAGGACATCAGCACTGGCTGACTTCACCTCCTGGGGCATCATGCAAGCCTCTTCAGGTCTCCTTTGCTTCACCATCACAGCTGCCTACAAGGCTGCCATGAGAATGGAGCCTGCACACAGAGGTGCACGGGGGGCATGCGGGGGCCACCACCAGACACCTCAAGGCTCACAACCTTCGGCCATCTCTGTCTTGTCAGTGAGGACATGAAAAGAGCAGCTGGAGCTCTCTCCCAGCCTCTATGGGCGTGAGGGCAGGGGGATCTGGGGGGCACAAGGCGGGGACTTGTTTCTTTTCAGTTGGCTGTAAAAGGCAAACAAGTCCCTACAACACACCCTATTCGAGAGGCATTTTGAGACACTTCCTGCAGTGACATCCCCCTTGCAGTGCAGCTCAAAAGCAGTGCGAAGCTGGCATTAGTATGCCCACTGAGTCAACCTACTCCCTGATTTGCCTTTTCCTTACTCATGTTTACAGACAAGCTCTCACGGTGCCACTGAAAGAAGAGGATGTCACTCACAAGGCAGTTCTGATGGGGAGAAAGATGAAACGCCAAGTCCTCAATGCTAAATTCTTGACAAGTTTTATTTCCCAAGAAAGTACAAGGAGACAGCCAAGGAGAAAATAAGACACACTCGGACTTGAACACACATCACACACTGGGCAATGGATCTGTTGGTTTCAGGTTGAGCCTATGGGAATGTGTCCACAGACCCTCGAGTGTCAGCACCAAGAGGACCGAAGCCCACAGCCTCCCACAACCCACACCTGCTCTCTGGAGGCAGGATTTCCCTCTGCTGCTCTCCCAAGACTTGCTCCCTACAGAGGACCTTGGTGACAGAGACCCTGTGCAGCTCTTGGATCCCATGAGGGGAGAGTGGCAGGGCCCCCAGCACACAGCAAGTGGGACGTGACCTGCTGAGGGAATGCTGCCAGGGGTTGGCCCAGTCTTTGTCTCCAAGGCGATTCGACTCCCCTTTCTGCACCTAACAACAATTTGTATTCACAAAACTCCTCCGGTTTCACCAGCACAGGCTTTGAGATGCTCTTTGAGGAGCTGGCAAGGCCAATGCTAGCTTTCCAGTTTGGGGGAAAGACTATGCGAAGAGGCAGAAAGCAGGCTTGTGTTACTAGGGGATGGGTGAGTGGGGAAAGATCGTTAATGGGTATAGTGCTCATTCTCCGCGAGGGGGGGGGTGGAAATGTTCTGGAGTTAGGTAAGGCTCATGGCTGCACGTGGAAATATGCTAAAAACCACTGAGTTGTACATGCTTTAAATCGATGAATTTTAAGGTATGTGGATTATATCTCAATAAAAAAGGCCCAAACAAATAAGTAGAATTTCCACTTGACCTAAGTGTGTGTTGGTGTTTGTTTTCTCTTAGAGTTTTGCTGCTGCCTCAAAAAAAGCAAAAACAGAAGCTGGGAAAAGACAAGGGAACCATCCTGTGCCTGGCCCGGTGTGAGCCCTTCCCATCATTGTCTTGCTCCCCCCAGCAGTCCTGAGGGGCTGACACAATTGTTGCAAGAGGTGTGGCAAGAGGAATTCCTGTACTGAGGCCTCCCAGCCAGAAACCACTTAGGGAATATTAAGCCCACTTTTCCCCACAGCATTATCATAGAGGGGTCACTGCCCAGGGGTGGTGCTTTCGGTGTTGCCACCAGGTGGAAGGAAGGAAGGTGTTGTAAGTAGGAACAGCATGTGTAGACACACAGAGGCATAATCTACCCAGGCTCACTGGGGAACAGCAACTGTAGTAAAAATGCAAGGTCAGGACAAGTAAGAGATGGGGGAGCTGAGGCTGGAGCCGTGGGCAGTGATTGGGTCATGAGTGGCTTTGTTGCCCTTTCCAATTCACTTGGCTTGAGGACAACCAGGAACCTTTGAAGGGTCTATATACTCACCAAGATGGACATTCTCTGTTTTCTTGAATCTACAAGTCAGCATTTTTGTAATCTTACAGTCAGTGAATAGATTTAACATTGCTTGATCATTATTCCTGAGAGGTTGTTATTCTGTACAGTCTTTTATTTATGGTGCCTTAAATACAAGGACATGCTGAATATTTCCTAAGAGGAATCACTTTGGTGGTCTGGTTTCTATCTCTGGAGAAGGAAAGGTAGATGCTGCAAACACCAGCCTTGGGACACTAATAAGTCTGGACAGAGAATAACAATGGTAGTGGCCACTCTGGGTACATTCCAGCGATAAACTAAGGAAAAGGTGTGTGTCAAGAAGTGTCCAGAATAGGCCTTGAGTAGTAATTTACTCAGAAGAGACTGAGATCAGCCAATGGCAGAATCTGTGACCCTGGCTTTTCCGCCAGGGTCCAGAGATTTCCTGGAAACCCTGGCTGATCACAGGGAGAAGTGTGGTAGTTAGGAGTCATTCCCCTCCTCTTCTGCCAAGAAAAGTGTGATGGGGCCACAGGGCTGAACCGCATGGGTCCACTTACACATAGATTTTCTTCTGCCTCTACCACCCCAGCAAGACTAGCCCCTCCTCTTCCTCAGCCTCCTCTGCCTCCACCTACTCAATGTGAAGACTATGACGAGGATGAGGACCTCTATGATGATCCACTTCCACTCAATGGACAATAAATGCATTTTCTCTTCCTTGTGACTCTTTTTAGTAACTTTTTCTTTTCTCTAGCTCACTCTATTATCGGAATACAGTGTAAAACACATACAACATACAAAATTTGTGTTTGTCTACTGTTTGTGTTACTGGTAAGGCTTCTGATTAACAGTTGACTACCTAGTTAAGCTTGTGAGTAGTCAAAATTTGTATAGGAATTTTTGCCTAGATGGGGGGTTGTGCCTCAACCCCTGCATTGTGTTTAAAGGTCAACTGTAGTAATAGAAATAGCCATGATGACCTGCACATGGGGAATACTGTACCTTGTGCTTTACAGAATTGCTTATGACAATGAACACGCATATCTCCTCTCCAATGACAGTGTCAAAGATGTCATAACTACCATCAACACCTACCAAGCAGTGGCTTACAACCTGGACTGGATGGCCTAGTGAGTGGTTGGGAGCACAGTTCCTGAGCAGGACTGTCTAGACTTGAATTCTGCCTCTATCTGCACTCACTATGGTCATAGGCAAGTTAGCTAAATGCCTATGCCTCTATTTTCTCATCCATACAATGGGGATAACAATAATGCCTATTTATAAGTTTTTGGGAGGATTGAATGAGTTAATAGATGTATTAAGTGCTTAGCCTAGTGAGACAGGAGATAGCTAAAGAAAGGTTAGGCAGACAGACAGGTGGGTCCTCTGATAACAATGTAGCAAACTCCCCTGGTAACAATGTAGTGAACTCTAGTAGGCCTCCTCAGACTCTGCGTTGATAAACAAGCTCCCTGTGGGTCTCCCAAGCTAGAGCTTAAGTACTCACTGCTGGGATCGAAAAGCAACCAATCCGCTCACCATTAGGCTACTACGTCCTGCCAATGGGTCCTTAATACTGACCAATCAGAACAGCTACAGCTCACAGCTAGTGCTAGCCAATCATCTTAGACTTAGGGCTATATAAGCACCAGGTTTTAGCCTCAGACTGGCAACCCCCTTGGGGCCCCTTCCGCTGTGGGGGCTTTTCTGTCCTCTTAATACATCCTTCTTTCTCATGTTTCAGCTGTTCGTGTCCCTCATTCTTCCTGGGTGTGAGACAAGAACTTCTACCCTGAAAAGCTGTGACTTGAAGAGCTGCAGAAGATCATCGGAGCTGAAGAGCCATGCAACCCAGAAGCTAGCTTGCCAACTGGCAGAGCCAGCTGAACCAGGAGAGCTGCTGGAAGAAGGCGAGACACTCAAGTTGAGACACTCTGGGGGCTAGGTTTGCCGGTCCACCAAATCAGCAACACTCTCAGGGCCTGGCTTGCCAGCCTATCAGAGCCAACACTCTGGGGGTTAGGCCTGCCAGCCCACTGAACCAGCAACAGTCTCAGGGCTTGGCTTGCCAACCCATTAGAGCCAAAACTTCCAGGCTAGGCTTACCAGCCCCTCAAGACGACCCTCTCTGGGGCTTGGCTGGCCAACCCATTGAGCTGACACTCTCAAAACCCAGGCTGACCTGAAAAATTCACATCACTAGGAATGTACACTTTGTAAGTATTCGGCAGAAAGAGTAGTTTGTATTATCCAGCATATTACACAGATTACCTCCTTTAATTCTCAACATTCTTCCAACACAGGCCATTATTATCTCCACTATTCAGAAATATTAACTGCAGCATAGAGAAGTTCAGTGACTTGCTGAGCCTACAGTTTGGTCATAGAGGCACACCTGAACACCAAGTCTGGGCCTGAATTCTGATCCATGAAGCTGACAGGATGTGTCTTTGTGACCAGGGAGGAGCCTCGAGGCCACCAGACCCAGGGGCAGGGCCGGGCGAACTGGGTCTGACCTTCCATCTGCCTCAGGCCTAAGAATCCTTAGTGCCCTTCAGTAGGGTTCATGGGCACTCAGTCCTGATATGGAAAGGAGGACCCAGCATTTCTCATTGCATGTGCGTTGCCTGAAGGCAGAGACCTGCCACACACGGTAGCGATCCAATGAATGTCTATCGGGGAATGGACAAGCATGGAAAAGGGCTTTCCTACATACTGGCCACTTTCACAAACAGCCCTTGCCATTTGCAGAGAGGAGTTCTGATTACCTTTCTCAGACCCAGTTCAAAAAGGACCCTTGAGATGCCACTGAATGCCAACCT